CTGCCCTTGGTGTTTACATCATAACTGCTAACAAATAACAAACAATATAAAACTGAAACTAGAAATAACAGAATAGCAAAATAACCACAGCTGTGACTAAATACATTCTACCCTACGGACAGAGTGGGACCACAGCTGTGGGGCCCACATCAATGTTCTCTACATTTTGAATCTCATCTTTCTAGCTGTCACTCTTAGATAGTAAAGCCACCTGCTCCTGCTTAGGAGAAATCATAGCGGTCCTCCTAGTTTCCTCTTAAGCGAACACTTCCTCCAGGCTTGGAAGTTCCTTACAACCCAAAATCTGAACCTTATTGACTCATAAACAAAATTCTGACCAGATAAGAAGGGAAACACCCATTTTTGAGAGAGCAATTTTGTGTATGCAAAACCATCTTCTTCATTCTTCCAATCTATAGATTTATAGTGATCCAGCTGCTTCCACATTGAAGGGCAGAATAATAGGCAGCAAGGAATTTCTCTCATTGTTTCAATGTGGCTGACAACACTTGGAGTTGGTAGATCCGAGCAAAGTGACGTTGTTCTGAAGTGCTGGCTGGATAGAAGAAGCAAGCCAAAACATGATAAGATAGTTTTCTTGCTCCCACTTCTCATACGCATCCCCTTCACTTGTAGGCTTCTTAGTCTTTCCAGTGTGGTACCCTAGCTTCCCCTACGCGTCCCCTTCATACTCCTGGACCATTCCAAATAATTCAAGTCATCAAGAAGAATAATAGATACAGGAAAGCCAACACCATCCATCCCACTGCCAGAGCTTACCAGTCCTCCAGGAGAGTTTGAAGTAATGGAACTCTCTTTGGACATGGCTGAAACACAACAGATGGCGAGTCCAAACCCAATAGAAAAAAAACAGAAAGCCTTTTTCTGGTTTTCTCGAGACACAGTCTCATGACTACAATAGTCCAAGATAACAGCAGGAAAAAGAACAAAAAGAAGAATGTGAAAACCAAAAACAGCACTTACTTGAGAGACTGCTACACTCATACCAGATACACACTGTCCCCGAGAACCATTACTGCACATACAGCCTGGGTGGTAGCCAAACAGCACTTCGGTTTTCACTTGGCCAACAAGAAACATGAAGTTGGTCACTTGAAAAGCTTCCTTCTAACAAAAATCACCTTCCGGTCAACACCCAGTGCCTTTCTTGGGCATACCAGCCACCAACCAATCTTCAAACACAGTCCAGACCAAAAAACAGAGCAAGAAAAGCTCCTTACATACCTTCTGTAATCCTCTTACATGCTTCAGCTACAAGAGGATCATCAACCCAGAAACAGAGAAATGACTTTGTCCTAGGACCAAGAAAGAAGAAGGAAATACTTGGATGTGCTGACAGATCAAAGGGGCTGTCTGTGTCCACTTCATTGATTCGAACTGATGAGTGAAGATGATGCGCAGAGATAAGAGGAACTTGATTATTCTATGACAGATTATTGTTCTGACACCATGTAGTCATGGAATAATCAAGAAAAGAAAAATAATTACAGAGTGGTCCCTTGAAAGAAGGAAAAGTACAGAAAACCCCAGCGCCAGAAACATATAAAAACCACACCTGACAACAAATACTATTCAGACCAGTTATCAAAAAATAAAATAAAATAAAGTGTCCGCAGTTTTTAGGGAATTGGTTTTCTAGGTGGTTTTATAGATCAGTATTTCCACACACCCCTTACCTATGTGAATTAATTTGGACATGTTGTCAATCAGAAAGCTTAGCTCCCTGGACCTCTTAGACTAGCTGCATGTTCAGTGCCCCTCCCAATTTCATCCCTATACTGCATTATGTGTTGGGCTATTTCCTGGTAATGTGAGGAACTGAAACAGGAATATTCTTGATTAAATGAATGTCTATAAAAGAGAGTTTTCTTTTTCTTTTCTGAACGACAAAAGCCATTACCCAATGTTCATCCCTGTTATCCAGGGACTTGGGATTGGTGAACTAGATATCGACCTACTAACCTTGAAGTCCTTGCCAGCCAAAGCCTAGCCTATTATAGATGAATGAATGTCCTTACATTTCTTATGTTAAGAAGAAGATTACTCCTTAAAGATTTTACTGTTCCTTTCCTTCTAGATGCCTCCTAATTGGAAAAGGTGATGTTCTCCATAAAATTGCACACTTTGATTGTAAAGGCATCATTATTCAAGATCGTAGAAATTGGATCCTCAAACCCGCTCTAATGATAAAATTGAAAAATCCCCAAAACTTTAGATACTCTGCATGAAAGGAATTGATGATTGTAATCTTGTGATCTACAATACATTTTGACTCAACATTCTCTATGTTTTATGATATTGTTACAATTTTCATAACATTGAGTCTGATATTTATTTTGTGCATTTGCCAAAGCTTCTGTTTACGACTTATGCATTTTTGTCTTTCCTGTGAATTCAAATTAGTTGCTTGGGTTCTTTGAACATAACTTACTATTTTTGGGCAGGATTTTCGTAGCTATGAGCGGCAGATTGTTAGGCACATAAAGCAAATAACTGGGGAAAAAGATGTTGTTAGGTGAAGTGACTATCCAGTGGATTCTGACTTGCTAACTTTGTCATCTAGTTTGTATTACTTATTCTTTTTTGATTAGTTGCCACCCTAGATGGAATCCATGTGATCAATATATATTCAACTTTCAGACGTTAAGAAAAAAGGAATTTGATAGAAATGTAGACAGCTTGCATGTCTATCCACAAGGATAGGACATTCCTCATGCAAGTTTCTGTTTTTAAGGTAACTAATGCTCTATGTAGGGCCCATGGTTATAAATCTTACCCATTTTCACTGCTAGATATGATGATTATGTTTCTTTCTTTCTTTATTTTTTTAATTGAAAACTACTGCCATGGCCAATTTGTTCAAATCATCCTTCTGCAATGACTCACATTTTGCAACTGTGATGTGTTGAGGAATGAATAATGCAGTTACTGCATACATTGTTTTTCGTTCTATCAATAACAAGATCAAAATTAAAATACAAAAGTAGATAACGATGAATGAATATTGAATAGTAATTAAAGAGGTAAGTTGACCTCCAAAATGGGAGCACAGAGCTACAGATTCCAAAAGAAAAATATCAAGTAGAGCAAGTAAACCCTCCAAATATCTTCATAGACTACTGATCACCTAGGAGGTATGCCCCCAATGTAACTCTAATTTGAAACTTTTGCATGCACTGCCATTTGGACTGAAAGCTAAATTACTGTAGCCGAAGTAGCAGAAAAGAGAAGAAGAAGAAGAGATGTTGGAAAGTCGAACTGTACAGCTCAATCGACAGTACTATTATTTATATTATGATGTAGGACAATGATACAGGAAGTTACTAGAATGCCCCTGATTAGTGATGGGACACCCAGACAACTTAAAACATTAAACA